CTGGTTTGAGATACACCTGACCACTCCTCGGAGCAAACTTTTTTTCCCCTGTGCCCCTGATGATGTAATGAAAAACACAGTACATAATAATGTAATGTACTAATTACTTGTCGTCTGTCGTTGCCAGGGCCAGTCCTTCCTGTTCCGTGTGTACGCTGAGAACCCGGCCGGAAGAAGTGAGCCGGCAGAACTCTCCAGTCCCGTGACTCTCAAAGTCAAGAAAGGTACAGCCGTGTTCCCTGTGGCGTGTGCTCCGTGTATGACGTCATAGTCACTCGTAGATCTGCACACTTTTCGTTTTGCCCTTAGCTGGTGTGGTCGTTGGTGGTGTAGAAATACTTGCAGTCATGCAAGTGGTGTTTTGTATGCATGATGTTAATGATACGTTAATCTTATTTAACTCTTAATTAGTTTTAAAATGTGAGTAAAATTAAATTTCTTCTTAGCTAATAGCATGTTTTGGTTGTTCTCGCTGCTTGTTTGTTTGGGGTTTTTTGGGGTTTTAAAAAAAGTATAAATCTCTATTTGTTTTTGTTTTGTTTTTGGGTTTTTAAAACAAAAATGTCAATCTGTGAGAAGTACAACTCTATGTCGAGATACACCATTAAGTGTTCGCCCCTTGAGTCTCTTCATGCCGATGGTTTGAAGCATTTTACCATTTGAGAACTACGTGACCAGTATAGGGAATTAGATTTCTGTATTGTTCATTTCTATAAATAAACAGCCTATCTATTCTGCACTTTAACCTAAACAGTAGACCAACTGCACGCTGATCAGGTTATCTATCGTTTACAATGATATTTAACAAACTTTGGTTTCCCCCATGTGTGCATGGTTGTATTTACAATAGTTTGATGTACAATTTTCTGTTCAGTTTTCGGAGGCATGCCACTTATTTTCTTTTTCTTTTGTTTTAGTTCTAATACGTCTCCTCACCCCACCCATTACACTTAGACTGAATGATTTCTGGTTTTTAGTTTCTAATGCTTTGTTTTTTCCCCATTTTATTTTGTTTTGTTTTTTTTGTTTGAATCCCCTAGTGGGACTGTAAAATTATATTTTCTTTATTTATTGCACAGGTTCCTTTGGATTGTCTCATTTTCCCTTCCCAAACCCAACACAGGTTTACTTACGACCCCACTTACTGCTCCTTTACCCAGTTGACAACAGCAGAACGAATGCCAAACTGAATCGTTCTGAATTTATCTACTCAATTTTACACCACCCTCTCTCTCTCTCTCTCTCTCTCTCTCTCTCTCTCTCTCTCTCTCTCTCTCTCTCTCTCTCTCTCTCTCTCTCTCTCTCTCTCTTTTCG